CTACAGGAAGTAAAATAGTAACACATCTACTGGCAGGATCAACAGGCAAAAAGACTGTTACAAGGAGGAATCAGAAAAACAGGAGCTGTTATAGTGTGACTGACCCATCCTGCGTTGTGCATCATTGTTGTGCTCAGAGTTCCACTTTATATTACTCTGCTGCGACAGTAAAGAACTTTTTATATTTGACACCAAAATCGCCCCCAATGTTCCTCCATCATCTCTCAGCTCCCATCTGAATCCAGCGACTACGGCGGACAGTCACCATCCCGGACCTTTGATTTATGAAACTGATGTTGTCACCCGTAGCAACCAGATTGTCTTCTCTCCTTTACAATGGATAAGACCTTATGTGATTGGTTGCCTGGAGCAGTGACGCGCTCTCCTTTCCTCCGGCGCGGTGATTGTCTTGTATTCGGTACATAGAGCGGGATTATCCTGAATATGAGGAGAAGTGAATCTTGGCTGCGCGATGCTCAGGCGCGACCTCTTAAGCTGCCCCCAGGCGTCATGGAACAGGCCAACGTGTACACAGGATCCCACAGTCTCGCAATGTCTCTTGGCTCCGCTCCGCCCCAGACTGGAGCGCTCCGGTTACATGAGCACAGAGGAGGGAGGTGAGGACGACAAAGAGACATGAAATGGTCACCAAGAACCGCTGGACCAGACGGCTGTGAGAGGACTGCACCCCTCTATTCCCCCCCCCCCCCCCCTTATATGAAATGGCGTCCTCGACGCAGGACGGACACCACAGTCACATGACCTCAGATTGTATATTTGGTAGAAGATGTCAACCAGCACCCAAACCAAGTCACGGCTGCCCAGCTACTCTCTGCCCCCCTCCCCCCTTTATATTGGTGTAGCACCGGATTTCTGAACCGGGATTCATCCGGGGGTAGTTCTCTCCAGTGATGGCAGATTCATCTCCCGCCTACAATGATCCCCAATACTAGGATTCCACTGATATCCAATGTGGGGGGTCACTTCCTTATTGACTCCCGATGAAGAGGGAGTCTTTTCCACTTAGTACTAATCTAAGGGGGCCCTACACTTCCCACCAACGTAAGGGGGCCCTACACTGTCCACCAACGTGAGGGGGCCCTACACTGTCCACCAACGTGAGGAGGCCCTACACTGCCCACTAATCTAAGGGGGCCCTACACTGCCCACTAATCTAAGGGGGCCCTACACTGCCCACCGACATAAGGAGACCTTACACTGTCCACCAAGGTAAGGGGGCCCTACACTGTCCACCAACGTGAGGGGGCCCTACACTGTCCACCAATGTGAGGGGGC